GGGGGGGGGGGGGGGGGGGGGGGGGGGGGGGGGGGGGGGGGGGGGGGGGGGGGGGGGGGGGGGGGGGTAATATCAAAAAACAGGAAGGACGAGAAACACAAAGCTAGGGCGCTTAATGCTGTTAGGTTTTTGACTGCATGCAGCACAATGAAAACGTTCTGTTGCTCGGGAAAACGATGTCAGAATTAGTTGACTAACACCAACCTCGGACAGTTTGAGGCCGAACGCCCTCTTCTCTCCACCCTCGAGTGGCCTCCTGTGACGGAAGATTACAACAATTCCTCTTCCCTGAAATGAAGGTGACAGCATTGAGGCTTGTGAGCACAAGTACTCCATCGTCGTCTAGATCCTCTAAAATACACTTGTGTGTTGAAACTATCGGCTTTATCTCGATACGTATTAATTCTTACCCTTTGGGGAAATACAATTTGATCACTTTCAAATGCCAGATTGTGTATGTTCGATAAAGCACACTACTGGAAATGGTTGAAGTTTAGAAAATGTGTAAACTTATGATTAGTTGCCAAGTTCTGTGGTGCTTTACGCTAGTCGACCTACCCTTAGTTCAACGTCTGTGTCGGTGGTTAGCTCACCGCCTGGCTTCATCTCATGTGACACTGTGTAACGCAAAATACCGTCGTAGCTTGTTATCTGTAAAACAAGAGGCAGTTTCTTCATTTTATTTTCAACAACATTGAAGGAGAATAGTTAACTGACAGAGCAGTTGGCCCTTAAAAACGGTAATCTGGGACTGGCCAGTGACGACTTCCATACATCGTGAAGTCGATAGCTGATAAAGGTTAACAAAAGCAACCAAAATCTACAGGATTTTCTTCCCACGGATCGCCCGGGGGTCAAACCTCGCTCCAACGGCTTTTCCCTAAGATCTAGAGACTGGGAGGGGCAGTCTCTAAAGGAAAAGCCCTGCAAACGAAGTTGCTGGGAGCCGGAGATCGACAAATGATCGGAATTAACGTTGACAATCTTTAAGTAATCAGAGTTTTCTAAACAGTTACGTTTATTTTCAAGTACGCCTTCAATGTTTATCACAAGAATATTAAGTTTAGAAATCAAATTATAATGTTGATAAGCTCACCATATCTCCTCTAAATTCCTGGCCCAAGAACCAGTAATATGTCGCTGCTGGTAACTCGTCAAACTTGTCATAAACATAATGTCCCGGATCACCCTCCACTTGAAAACCTGAGCTAAAAATCGAGTTACGTGACAAGTCGGAGAGTCGTAAGAAGTTTGGACCGTCTATAAGGGCAACTCGTAGACGAATCTGAAACAAAAATTTGGCCATTAGCCAATCAGATGCCGTATGTACTCTCCTGCTTTCCTTCAATATTACGTCATTGACCTTATCATGATATGCCCAGATCTATGGCCGAGTTTACGTACATTTCGCTCGTTGGGTCTCAGCCTGAGTAGTTTGGGTCAATAAAGGAATCATCGTTAGACTAGAGTCGGCAGATATGCAAACTTTAGAGAAGACTCATGAATAAGTACCGCGTATCTGACTGTCTAAATTCCTAATTGGATGCACGTATGAAAGGTTATAGACTGTATAGGTAGGTCCACGTAGCAAGAGAGTTGGGAAAATGGAGACTACATGTATGTGGACAAGAGAATATGATCATAATCTCTTGATGTGGAATATATCCTCAATTTGGAAGTTTATAATGTTGTTGTAAATCGAAGAAGAGCGCACAAGGGATTAGCAGTGTGTAGCGAGGTAGGGAGTGGGGCGGTCGGCAAAATATAAATGGCTCAATGTCTTTCCGCAACGAACCAGCGGGTTGTTAAGTGTTCATACATACGGGAATAAAGAAGTTGCCCAAAAGAAAAACAAAACAAAACCAAAAATACACAAATGAAAAGCGAATTGGTCGATCCGTTGGAGAGCTAAAGCACCCTTACAACTCGTAGTGACATACAAAAACATAGCTACGAAAGTGATTCAGGCCAATGAGAGAATTTTTTGCCCTCCGAAAAATAGAATTCAACGTCAATGTCAACACAAATGACAATATTACTATTTGAAAGCGAAAAAAACAAAAAAGAAATCTAATCTTGGAGACAACAGGAGATGATTGTAAATCAGACAGACTTGCCAGCATTCTTACCGTGTCTTTGTAATAATTGGCACATTTACAATCACTCGTCAACCCGAAGCAGAAGCACGGTACACACCCCTCAGGCTCGTCCGACTGCAAGTTGAAGAAGGATCGCTTACACTTGTCGCATTTCCTGCCTTCCACGTGTTTCTATAGAGACACAACAGAAAACAACCGTGAGATACTTACTATACAGAAAGATTGGCGGAAATCACTTTTGGAAGTTATCTATTGTGAGTTTTAGAATAAACAGAGCTCTAGAAAGGTTTACGACGGCGCGCCGAGACCAAAGAAAAATAAATAGGTACATTTTTGCTATCTGTTCGCCGTGACTTGAAAGGTCAAGAATGTAGTAGTTTCGTTGTGCAAAGCGTATGACCAGCACAATTCGTTTTCTAAAAAAGCACTTTTTAACTGCTCAGTTCTAGGGATTCCGTCCCCCACTTCCATGATGTGTTACGTGATGCATTTCCAGTATAATCTATTGTTTTAACCTGTCGTTACAAAGAGTCACCCAAAATAGCATGACCTTAACTAACTCTTTTGAGATCATTACAACTTCCTTCGCAGCGTTAGTCATAAATATAAAAAGGTATTTTAAATTCTCTTTGCTTAGTCTTTCCATTTAATAACTGAAACTGTCAACAACGATTCAAGAAGATCTCTCATACCATATTTTAGGCCTGAAGTGGTCTAGCATTGGGCTTTTAAACAGAGGCGGATCGAGACCTTAAGCTGGGGGGGGGGGGGGGGGGG